CTTTGCCGTTTTTCAAATATCTCCAAAATAACCGAGTTATTTTACTTTGAAAATTAAAAAAAAAGGTTGTTTTTTTGGTTAAATTTTGAGAATCACAAAACATTTCAAATTTGTTTAATTTATCATAAAATAATAAATACAAGAAGAAGTGTCAAGTCAATGTTAAATAAAGGAAACAGCGTGGCTGCCTGGGTAACTAATTTTCAGATATGGCGGTTGGGACATTTGACATGATTTGACATGACATAGACATGACAATTTCAATTTTATGAAATTTATTTCCGTTTCCGGTTTTTAATGGCGGGCTGTTTAGGAGGTTTAAATGACGGTTAATATACTTTTTACTCTTTCTAGTAGTAAATAATACAACAAAATTACTCAAAAATATTTATTTGGAATTTAGAACAATGTAAATTTGCAAATCAACACAATTAAAGAGCTAAAAACACATAAACTACTGTATCAATATCAAAATATTTAAATAACATCAGAGATGTTGTGTTAAAGTGAATTAGTAAAGTAACAGTGCACTGACTTACAGAAACTTGAAGATAAATAAATGTTTTCACAGCTTCAGGGACGTAAAACTAACTAACTGGAAGCAGGAAAAAGACAACAGGAACCCACGCAAAACCTGGAATCAAAAAAAAATATGTAAAAAAACATAAATATAGGTACATAAGACTTATGCGAATTAAATTAAACAGGACTTGAATGAAAATAAAATGAATAAAAAATATGATACATATACATCTAATACCTCATTTGTATTTTAAAAATAATCTACAAAAAAAATAATCGACATACATAGCATTATTGCTATGAAAATACATAATAGGTACCTATGTGATATGGGTGATATGTAATTACGCATTTCTGTTCATCTTGTAAATAATTAATGTAGGCTAATAATAGTTCAATAATCATAATTTACCTTGTGTAACTTGCTTTCAATTGCTCAAAATCACCGATCAGTCTTTAAAGTAGAGATACGGGAAAATCCTTGGCAAAGAATATCCCAAGATCTTTGGATGTAAAAGCTAAAAAATAAAAACAGTTAATATATTACCTATTTTTACATATAATATGGCCAATACCTACTACACGCAGAAACGTCGATTTCATCATTTTCTTCACGTAATTAATATCATATATACTTTATTAAAGTGTTAACAAGGAACTTTATATCAAAAAACATCTTTGTACTTATAAATTTCAGCCGAAATATCATAAACAAACTTCCAATCAAATCTAAACGGCAAAAATTAAAATGGCGCCCGACCTTGCTAGAGGCCTCGGGAGTGGACACATGGCTGACACACAGACAAAAGAAGAGGACGCCGACGTGCATAAAAATGTTCCGTAACAGAAATTGACAGAAATCATATAGAAATATTCAGATTTTTGTCTAGGACAGTCTAGAAGGCCATGCTTTCTGCCTGGGTAGGACTGCGCCAGAACCAATGACTAAAGAATATAAGGACATGTAACGCCCCTGTACGGGCTGTAGTAGAATTTGTGACGTTAAACGCCATTCGTTTGATGCCAAACAGTGAGTCATCATCCAGTCACCAGCGACAATTTTAGCGATTTTTAATAGTTTGTTGTGTGTAGTGAACTTTGTATAAACTTTGTTACAATGGTGAATTGTGTAGCTTTCAAGTGTAAAAGCCACAGCGACAAGAAAGAGCCAGGAGTTACGTTTCATAGGTAAATAAACAGTCCACTCCAACTTTTTAGCGTTTTCTTATTGAATTCGATAATTATTCTTCAATTTCAATTAACGTCTATATGTACTTGATATGTGCTATACGTCGATACTAGTTTTGTATCTTTTGTTAACATTTTAGTACGTTTTTTCGTAATTAGTTAGGATGATACACCATAGGCGTAGTCAAAACAATTATCAAAAAATATAAATATTGCTTCAAACAGCTAGGTTAAGAAAAATATGTGCCACGGCACTGTTTGATGCCAGCGTCACAATTTGCTGTCGGGTGTTATTTGTCCTTGGATTCTTTAGTCATTGGCAGAACTGTTTCCAATTTTCCGGTTTACTGTCACCCCCCTGTAATTTATGTCAATGATGACAGCTAGGTATTGGTAATTTCGATTCCAAATATCTCGAGAACCATTACTCGTAGCGATTGTGACCAAGAGACCTTTTTTTATGTAAAAAACGTCGTAAATGTATATTTTTTACAGGTAATAGGTAACACGTAATTTTATACAGGTACAGACAAAAAGTTATTACTCTGCAAACCAGTTAAAAAATATGTAGGTGGCTCCTTCTACAAGTAGACATCAAAATCAAATTTCTCATGTCAATAAACTCACAGGCACCAATTTTCATCCAAACATTGACGTTACTTCATAAATTATATGGAAAAAAATCGAAATAAATGAAACTTCTACACCCTGTATCTCCAAAACCAAGCATTTTAGGACATACATTCATACGGTTTTCAATTTAAGATTAGTAATAATATTTGCAACAAAATTTGTAATAACATCAAAATCAGTTAAAGTCGCAGTTTTTGAGATAAAAAAAATTGGAAAAATTCCTTTACTTTGAAACTAAAAGAACTGCTTACCAACTTATTATTAACATATTTTATACGTGCCTCCCGGCGCCAATTTTTTTTATTATTTTATTGTATTTGATTTTTCGTTTTCAATGTTTTACCCCACATAATTGTTAAGTTTGAAAGCTTATCAATATTGTAACGATGAATAGATTAAATATTAAGAAAACAGGGGCGGACATGAAATAAGTTTAAATAAATTCTGCTCAAATGTCCAAAACAAAAAAAATATAAGTGTAGCATATCATTGTACTCAGGAGACCGAGTTCTTTCAAAACCGGAAATAAAAAATGCAGGTCCGTATTTAAAAAAATTAAGTTGGCCTCTGTATCTCACAAATTATCAGCTACTTTGAAATTCTAAAAATACTATCAGATAGCCCTGGTAAAGTGGCTATGAGAATATGTAATAAGTTTTTTGTTTTTCTAAAAAGTAACGACAGGCAAAAATAAAATTGATTTTCAAAAAAATCCGTTTTTTCCAAAAAAACTCAGCAATCCTTGAAATTTTTAAAACTTATTTGATGGCATCTTTGTGAACATCCCAAAGTGCAACTTTGCCCAAATTTAACCATGTTCGTATCTATTACGGTTACCGAGATACCAATATGCTCGTATCTCGAATTTGTAGCACCCTGTATATTGCAATTATGAAGTATAATCATATATTATTAGAAAAATCAACTGTTAAAGCAGTTTCTATTATTACTTTTAAGATAATGTCCTTGTGTATAAATGTCCAACTATTATACTGGCTGTGGATATTACTGTTTTCGACGTTTGCAGATAAATGGGATAAAAACAAAAAATACAAAACGTTGTCAACAAAGTGTAAATTTTTTTTTTCCAAAAATCGATCTCTTTTGTGGCAGTTTATTCCGAATTATCTTTTGCCAATTCAATATTCCTGAGTAGTTTTCATACATTATCTAATTTGTTGGCTCTATTCGACAAAATTAGGAAAATATTTTTGCAAATGTATAAATTTTTAATTTTCATTGAATTTTGTAAAAAACAGTAGATCCAAAAGCAAAACATAGCTCGGGGACAAAGTCAGTAGATCTACTGATTTATCAGTAGATCTTGTAATACTGCCGCGTAAAGCCCCTCGGATTGTACAGATTATGGAGTGTAGAGGTAAGGAGAAATAACTCCGTGCATTAAAAAATGGTCAAAAAAAGGGAAGAATTAGAATGGCGCTGCTGTAGCAAGATTCTAAAATTTAAGACATGCGCCGAACATTTTAGAACAGATGATTCAAGACATAAATATTTGACGTGAAGCCATAGATAAATGCAACAAGTTTAGATTGGAAAGCCCGTAAAAATTTTGGGTCGCGAAATTATTTTGGGGCGCGACCGTTATACGCGATTTGGCGCTGCTATAGCGGTCGCTAAGAACAACGACAAACAAGAACAGAAATAATTTTCTCTTGTCAAAGTCAGAGTCTTCAAAAATCATAATATAATCTTTCAAAATCTAAACCGCTCTCATTAAAGAAATTCCGAAAAGTGTTTATAGCGTCCATTTTCAAAGTAATAATTGCTATCTTGTGAGTTTAATTCAAGTTTTATTTACTCCAACCGGTGATAATTTTGAAAAAGTGGCATTAAAATCTTAAAAAGCTGTGCTGTGAACTGCAAAAATCATCGTGGATCGTGGCATATAACGTCGGTTTCCAATATTTCATAGGTATTTCATACATGCGTCCTTATATAAAATAAACTTTCTTGTATGCAACACACTGTCTTTTATTTATAAAATTAAACGAAAATAATAATAAATTTGAATAAACAATATTTGCCGATATAATTCCGGAAAAAACCGAACCGCTCCGAAATTTTCAAAAGTTTTGGGTCGCGACCGTTGCAAGAATAGCGCCAAATAGGTTTACATTGTCCTTATGGGCACTTTCAAATCTAAACTTGTTTCATTTATCTATGCGTGAAGCAAACGCCACAGACGCGAAGCCGCGAGTTTAAAAAAAAATACAATTTTATTTTCATGTTGCATGAAATAAATTACAGATTTTTATTCAGCAGCAATAGACTAGGCCCTTTTTTTATTGTTTCTCATAAGTTATTTCGCAAATGTCATTCAAGACGACGAAAAAATATTCTTATCGTTTTATCTTAAAATTAATGGTAATTATAATTAAGACAAATTTTATTTAAAGTAATAATTGGTGATGGGTTTAAAATAAATATAATGCAGCTTTAAAATAACTTCATACCAACATTTATTTAGTATAAAAGTAAGTCAATATGTGGTTTTATTATCGATTATTTAGATATCAGAGCCTCTTTTTATTGTTTCTCATAAGTTATTTCTTAAATCTCATTCAAGATTAGGAAAACTTTATTAAAAGTTTAATTGATGATATGGGATTTAAATAAATATAATGTAGGTCAAAAATAACGTAACACATTTTATTTAGTATAAAAATTAAGCCAATATAATATAAGTTTATACTGTACAAGTATTTATTTACGTTTTGCCATCTTATTACGTAGTTGCCATTCATTCAGAATAGTGGATTTTAAATGTTCGATAGTCGGATGGCTTACCGCCATATATACCTTAATATCAACTACTTCTAGACAAGAATCGTGTGCAGTATTATCTTCTTTTTCACTCCCAGCTATTCCAACATGGCTTGGGACGTGAAATAATAATATAATTTTATAGCCCTTCCAGATGCTCATGTCTTCCTGGTAGTTCACCCAATAGAATCGTTCTTGCAGCTTCCTCCCAAGTTGGTAGTTGCTATTCATTCAAAATAGTGGATTTTAAATATATTTGGTAGTCGGATGGTTTAACTATCGTAACAATAACTACTTTTAATAATTCTTTTTCTCAATTCCTTGCACTATAATTTGCATCCCACGTATTGTAATATTTTCCTTTGAATTTCGTTTCCTATTGTTCCATGGCTTGAGACGTAATGTTATAGCCCTTCCAGATCCTCATGTATATGTCCCTTTTTCTTGTAGTCCACCCAATAGAACCTTTCTCTTAGCTTCCTCTCAAGTTGGTAGTTGCCATTCATTAAGAATAGTGGATTTTAAACATGTTTTGTACTCGGATGGTTTAACTACTGTAACATCATAAATAAATTGTATACCAACACATAATGGCCAAACTTCAACAGACTTTAATATTCATAAACCTCATCAGAAGAAAATATTTTTTGATCCAAAGTTTTTTTTTCGTTATTAGAATAAATTACCTGCAATTTGTTAATTCATTACAACATTGAATAAAAGATGCAAATTGTTTATACATACTATAATAGATAAATCTTCATTTAAAATTATGTGATAGATCTGCTTGCTTGTAGGATCTAGACTCATAAACTCAATCATTTCTTTTATTGATATAACCAATAAAGTAGTAATGCTGAAATTTTGTTTTTGATTTGAGCAGTAGGGTCCATTATTTCCATTATTTGATGCTGTTATTGCTCTACAAAATGTTGATCTTTATCAAGGAATGTTTATGTGTATAATATTATTATTTATGTGTATAATATTATTATTTATGTGTATAATAATACTGTAAAAACACGGCGTCCAGTTGGCTTGGAAATGAACATCTCGATGACATTCTCCATATCATTTTACATATAAAATGACAGCAATCTTCATTTCATAGGCATCGCTGACGCCGTTTTTTATTCGATCAAAAAAAGTACTTACGTGTATAATATATACTAATATATACTTGTACTTACGTGTATAATATTCATTTAATGGTTCCTGTTTTAGTTGCTGGTTTTTTATTGTGTTGTTGCTCTACAAAATGTTAATATTTATGTGTATAACATTACTCTTTCTGTGTATAATAATATACTTATGTGTATAATATTCATTTAATGGTGCCCTTCTTGCTTGTTGCTGTTGTTGCAATTCAGAATTTAAATTAACCTGAGGCAGTAGGTAGAGCTTCATCCTCCAATATTTTCCTATGTAAATACTGCAAGTGGACAGGGGACAATTTTATCATAAACTTTAACATCTTGTTCTTTAAAATGAAACTGCCATACCTTATCTGTAGATTTCAAAGCAATATCTAAATGCTTTTGACCATCGCTATAATCTAATTCTTGTCTGAAAATCAATACCTAATATTATCCTGATGATTTTGATTTTTGATAGATTATTAAAATACAGCACTTACAGTAAACTATATTTCTTGAAAGTACCTACAATTTTATGTATTTCCTACTTTTACTTGTTTAAAAAAATGCCAACAATTTGTGCATGTCTGTCAAACTTTAAAATCATTAAAAACCTTGATTATGTATAAATAGATGTTAGAGGTGGGTTGTGAAATCGCAGTCCGCTACTTTGTCACAGCTCCACCAACGTCGCAGTATGTGACTGCTCCAGTTCCAAGAAAATCGCAGTGACATTTTGGAGCAGTTTACAAGTTTAGGACATCTGCGCTCGTGAGTAGCAATAGGAGCAATAGCAGGCAATAGTGTAAATTCTGAAAATGCTCCTAGCCCCGTCGCCCGGTCCAGACTGTTCCAGTCACAGTCGTCTGCAGGTCAGTCGACTTGTAGCATAAGTATATTGAGTATATTCTGTGTACTGGAGCTGTTGGGAGTTTGGGAACAGGAAACGTAGCAGCGTTCGCTTTTTTTCTTTCATGAATCTAAATAAGATATTTATGTATTATATATTAATCACAAACAGATGTTTTTGACAAAAGGTAATTTTTAACTTGTTAGTATGTTTATTTGTTAGTTAATTTTGTATCTGTGTTTTGTTGTATATCCTAAATCTTTTTATTTGATCTATACATTCATATAAGTTTTATTATTTATATCTATTTTTTAAGGTCTGATGATGGCTAAATAGCCGAAACCGGTCACTAATAAAAGATTTTTTGACAGTTTCGACTTTGAATTGAATATAACATTAAGTTTTTACCACATGGGCCACCACTCTGTGTGAAAATGAACAGACTCTTTAAGATATTTATAGCAAAGTGCTTGGTACTTAAAAACACTCAAATTCTTCTGAATAGACTAAAAAATATAGCAACATCTATCAAACTAAGACATCAGTATAGTACCGTACAGCCGCGATTTTAAGAGCTCTAGGGGCCCGTAGTTCGGAAAAGCTCGAATCTTGTTCGCAAGGGCGAGGAGGCTTGGGGTCTGTCGGTGACTTACCCCGATTGCACAGACGTTAAAATCGCCACTACTGATCGAAATAAAAAACGGCGTCCAGTTGGCTTGGAAGCGACAATCGATAACATTCCCCATAAATTTTACATATAAAATGCCAGCAATCTTCATTTCATAGCTATCGCTGACGCCGTTTTTTCGATCATATGATATAAATAAATAAAAAACTAGACGATGATGTTGCCTATCATAATCACACCTATAGTCCTGTACTTTTTTAGAAAATGCAACGAACGGTGCCGAACACCGAGTGCGATTTTTTCGGAGCAATTAACCTATAAACTACATTTTTTAATTTATAGGTTAATTGCTCCAGCATCGCTACTACTGTCACAGTGCTTTTATTGGAGCAGTCGAGAGCGTAGCAGCTCCACAAAAATCTGCAGACTGGCCCACCTCTAATAGATGTACAATGAGGGGCTTAGTACAAGCCCGTCTTCTAGGTGGCGCCTTGCCCGTTCTGAATTTTGTATTCCCCCACGATTTTCTTTGAGGGGAATCCGTTAAACCCGCCCATCGTTCAAAAATGGAAGGGCGCGAGGTCACATCTATTGGGCTACTTATTAGCACGTTTCACGCATGTTTTACGAAAATAGCTTTCCTTGTTTGTTTCAACTGTGACAAGAAAAAAGGAAAAAAAGTCATATTCGTTTCTAAATTCGGCAGTTTTGTTTATCTTTCTCGACTTCTGATTTCGTTTCGTTTAGGTTATGTCTTAAAAAATAATTATTTATAAGCTGTTGAGTTGAAATATACCTTAATGCATATCTAAATAATTAAAAAAATCAATTTTTTCGTCCCCCACGAAGAAACGAAACAGTATTTTTGAATATTTGGATTACAAACTATTATTTTATGAGTTTTATGTGTTGTGTTTACGTGATGTGTAATGTGTATTTTGTACCTGCTGGATAATATTTTGAAATATATTTAATTAAACAAAAAGCATCTGTATTACAGGTGAGTAAATACTGTTCATATTTATTTCTAAATTCATATAAATTTGTTTTAAATCACTCTTGGTTTTTAGAGTTTTTATCTTAGAGTTTTACCTCATAGAGAGTTGAGATAAGTTTAATAATAAACATTAAATTTGATAGATTGATAGATAGATTAAACGATAATGGCCAGTTGACTTAAAAATTTAAAAAATACTGATTTTATGCTATAAATTATGTTTCATTTCTTACTTTGCTTTTTTGGAACTGTCAGATATATTGTGTATTTTATAATTTTTCTTAATTAATAACGTAAAATATTGTTTATCTACACTCAACCCTGTGTTTAGATAAAGCTTCATATCAGATTTCCTATTTTATATTTTCACTCAAATCATATTTTTGTAAAATAGGTATGCTTGCATGCAAAAGTAGCGTAAATTTGACAGGGAGGTATTTTTATAGATATACAGGATGATTCGTAGATTTAAATACATATTTACTTTAGAGTTGTATAGTTTGTCAAAAGAAAAGCTATATTTTTTATTTTTTCTTGGTGAATTTGTCAAAAAATTGTCATTCCAGAAAATACTATAATGTCGTAATCGTATAGAGTTCATTTTGACCATTTTTGGATTAAATTTTTTTGTTTATATAATAAAATATATATTTAAAGCCCTTTCTAAGTTAAAAATAAGTAATATGGAAGTTTTTTACTGGAACTAATTTAAGGTAATGTTCTCTTCATATAATTATATAAAAATATGCTAAATTCCTAAATTATTTATATGATTAAATTTTCTTTATATTATTTTTTTTGTATTATATACAGGATGAGTCAAAACTATATATTATATTTTTCTTTGCTATTTCAAATGGAACACTGTATTTTATATCATAAATCAACAAATCTTTTATCCAACTTTTGTTTTGTTAAGATCTATATCCCAGATTAATAGTTATTGGATTGTTCTCAATAATTGTCTCTTTGAGAATAAACATGATTTGTTTTTCGCAATTTTTATTAGTAGGTTTGTCGTTAAAAGTGATGTATCTACATATTTATCAGCGACAAAAATTAAGAATTAGATGTCTAAAATAATTTCCTAATTATTTTTTTACTTAGCGTATCAGTAAATATTATTTATTTTATCGCTGCAGCTGAAAATAATTATGTATTCCAAAAGAGGACATTACTGTATAAATATCGATTATTTGGATTTAAAAATTATTTTTCAAAACAAAGTTGGAAAAAACTACGTTTATGTCATAAAATGTGGAGTTCTCTTTGAAATAATCGAGAAAAACCCAACATCTAGTTTTGACGCCACCAGTATATATCATGCATTATAGTTCATTATACTGCAATTTATTATACATACGTAGTTTTGTTTGGTGAAAATGAAACTTTCTAAAAGTATTCCCAATTAAAACATATTAAGAATTTCCTACATTATAATTTTGAAAGACGTTTGAGTGGGCAGACAATTTGGTCTAAAATAATCATATGTCTAAAAAATTTAGTCTAAAATAATCAAAAACCACTTAACACATATAACTCGCTTTTAAAAAATCTAAAAGAAATAAGTTTGTTTATTATATTCATATTTTATTAAATTATTATAGGTGTGACTGCTAAGTGGTCGTACTCGCCACTTTAACCAACCATTGGTGGGACCATGGTAGGACCTTCAGAGATTATAATGCGAATTTTTCATACCATGTAAATCTATATACATTATTAATAAATGCGTTTGTTTTATTAAATTTGTTTTCTTATACGGTATGAGCGAAAAAAAAACGGCGTCTATTTGTTTACGTAGAAATATATGACATCGATATTCATTTCCAAGCCACCTCTGACGCCGTTTTTTTTTATCGTATGGTATACACTTACATATTCCTTATCCTTTAAATCCGATTTATTTCTAATAATTATAAAAATAAGATACCTGATTGATTCTTCCGAAATATTATAAAATGAGATATCAGGAAATAAATAAAGTTACTTATCTCGTTTGTTTTGGGAATTCAAAAAAAAGGGTATAGAGAATCTTAAGAGACACAGTTCAAATATTATTTTTGAGTATAATGGGTGCTTCAAAAAATGTGGCGGATATAATGTAACATGTTTTTTAATGCAAAACTCTTATTTATAACTTTTATTTTATTTTCGATTCTGCCTAAAATTCTATAACTTTTTTTTTATAAATAACGTTAGTATTTGCAAAAAAAATTATTCCTATGTTACATAATTGTCAGTTGTTTCCGAAGTTGGGCTACCCAAATTTGGTAGGAGTGTTTTACAGAGGTGAAGAAAAAGATATATGTAAAAATACTTGGAGTTAGATGCTACACTGTGTTCAAACAGATTTTTTTGGCTGATCCTATATATTATTATTTTTTCTAGTGCTTTTACAAAACCTTTCAACATTTGTTAAGAAAGTATATTAAGTACATCTATACTCTATACAGCTTTATCCTTCTTTTACTTCATTTACACTATAACAAGTTTTGCCATGACAAAACAAAAATTATTTATTATTAAGCATTAAAGTAATTTATATAGTTATATGACATTATTAATAGAAATTGAAGAATTTTGTAAAATCTATCAGAAGAAATTATAATATACCGGGTGTTTTTCAAACGTGGCTTGATTGACGTATTCAATTAGTTTCGGTTATTTCTTGTTTCACCTGAAATGACTACAACTTGGTTTTTAAATGGTACCGTCGGTATTTTTTTACTTTATTTGACAGAATATGGCATTGTGAATAGAATGATTTAATGTCAACTTTTGACATATTTACTCAAAAAAATTGTATTTTAAATTACAATCTAGAGTGCCATGATAAAAAACAACATGTAACCGGTTGTAAAGGTAACGACAGTTTGACTCGATATACGAAGTGTGTGGTACCAAATTACCTATTTACCAGGTACCAAAAAGGAAAAGACAAAAAATATTAGACGATCAAATCAATTTTTCCGAAGCTCCTTGATTAAAAATTAATGGTTTTAACACAGCCATGACACTAGATTGAATTTTAAAATGCTATTTTTTTTAATTGAAAATGTCAAAAGTTGACATATGATATATGTCATTCTATTCAGAATGTCATTTTCTATCAAATAAAGTATAAAAATACCGAGGGTACCATTTAAAAATCAAATGTTGTACTCGTATACATTTCCGGTGAAACAGGAAGTGACCGAAACTAACGGAATACGAATCAATCTCGATTTATGTCATATACCTACTAACATTCCGAATTTGGTAAACCCCGAATTTAATTTTTTTATCTGAAAAAATAAAAAAGTTATAGAGGTGAACCGCTTTTGAAAAAACACTCAGTATAGGCTGCGTCATTGAAAGAATCTGCAGATATTTTTCTATTTTAAATACGTAGTCGAATTTCAAAAATATATATTGAACACCCTGTAGCTCTACCTTAAATATCTACATATAAATATCTAATATTTTTTCTTCATCAACAAATTGAAATATTATAAAACTAGTTTTAGGTTACACCATTATACAAGAAATATACGTAAAAAAAGTAATAGAATTTTACGCAGAATCTAAAATAAAATAGGATGTTACATTTAAAAAAAACATTATGTTAAATCCGCCACACTTTTTACAAAGTTACAGACGTAGGTAGGTATAGTTTCATATTATATTCTTTAATTATCCATCTAAAAATAAAATATTTATATACCTAATATAATACTTTAGTATCCAACAAGTGGCTATGAAAATCAAAATAAATATAAATCCATGTCCAAAAATAAAAAATGTAAATAACGCTTTGAGGTATAAATTCGGTTCGAATCAGATAAGATATTTTTATTCTTTACCGAGAATTAAATTCGAAGAATTTCTAGTCCCTACTTCTTTGCCAAATTCAATAGTCTCCGCCCCTTTTTACGTTTTAATTTCTGCCACCAGTTGGCAGCATCGACTTATACAGGCTCATTGACTAACTATTAATATATAAACAAGGTTAAAAATAAATTTTATTTAGGTTGTAACATGGTTGTAACCTGGTTGTAACTTTATAAAAAGGATTGTAAAAATATACTTTGTAACATGTATGTCAATAATCTATTTAGTCCCGTTCTCAGAACTGCGACTGTCGCCAGCGACACGACAAAAGAACCAATCAGATTTGTGCAAAATTCAAACAGCTGTCAATTTTAAATTTCGTACAGCTCCCATTGGTCGTTTGAGGTGTGAAATTTTCTTACCGAATACCACGCAAGCTTAAATTATTCCTGGGAATTTTCTTTCGGGCACGAATATTTTAGGAAAATTATCCCTCGTCTTCGACTCGGGATAATTTTCAAAATATTCGTGCCCTCAAAAAAATTTCCGAAAATAATTTAAGCTCTTGTGATATTATAAGTGAATATATTCGGAAGTATTCGGAATTTTTCAAAATGCAATACTGCATTTTATTGAGCATCAAATTGCGCAACTTTGCCTCCATTTAACCAATCCTGTATCTCTTACGATTTCCGAAATCTCAATGATGAGCGTCGAATTCGAGCCACCCTGTACATGGGTATAGAAATGCATAGTTTTAAAATTAAAGAATGTCAAGATTTTTAAATACCAATTTTTATTTGAATTTTCTGTAGATTGGACCAGAGGCATAGGTGGCGGGCCGCCCCGGCCGGCGATAAAGTCCCTAGATATATAAAGTACCGCAATTACCGCCATTTTGGCGCCAAAACTAGCGGCAAATTTAAAAAGGAGGCCAACATTTCGCTGTTTCGGCTTTTTAAGCAGCTGGTCGGTCCGGCGCCAATATGGCCGACCAACATTGACAGGCAAGCCGTAAATTAAAATATTTATTAATTGTAATAGAATTACGTTTATTATCTACAATTTACCCTCATTTTAACATAATATCAGGTTGTATATTAATATTCAATTTCATAAATTTAATTTTTTAGGCCTATATGGTGTTAAGAGGTTATAAACGAATGGTTTCCGTACAAGTGTTTTTCAGTTGTATTAGCATTTATTTTATGTTACCTTTTAGCGCAAAGTACGCCAACAGAAGTAAGTTAATAGGTAAGAAGAAATAAAGTTAGAATAACATTTAGCATTTTAGTACTTAATTCAGTCGAAACAATTGGAAAAACTTTGTTTGTTGATGAGAACGGGCTACCTATACCATAAGTAAACCTTCCCTATTATACCAGTTATGCTGTAGTTAGTTTTGACAAATAAGCATGATTTAACGAAAGTCTTTGGAACTATGAATCTAGGAATAAGCTACAAACTTAAATTTGAAGGCCGGCTTTTATACGAGAAAATTTTGAACCATGGTTGAAACAAATAAATGTAATAATTAAATTGATATGATTTAAGTATCATTATTATAAAAAGTTATACTGCTATAAATTTAACATTGAAATAACTGTAATTATTGTTATACATAAATTAAGTAGGCATAATTTTACCTCGACAATATGTAAATCTTCAAATAAATCTTAACAATTTTATGTCATGTATAAAAATCAAATTTAAATCACACACTTTTATTTATATCTGACAGTATAAGACCAAATTTTTAAATATAACTTTACATGCTTACATTATAATGTTTACTTTTTATTAGTAATTACAATATGAACCAAAAAATATTAATTACTATCAATAAATACATAAAATCGAATCTATTTAAGTCCATGAAAATAACGATATAGTTAGCATATGCATAAACAACATTCTTGTTATTAGGATCAAATTTATTTGAGCTTTTTTTCATTGTTTTGATTAATATCCCTGTTAGTCCTGACTGGTAAAACCACCTGAAGCGATGTCATCCAAATCTATATTTTATATTAGTTGAATAAATAAAATATATAAAATATATATATGTATCATAACATAACTTCTTCTTTTAAATAATTATCCTGCCTTTGGTCTGATGATAATATATTGTAGATTTATCTAAACTTCTTACTGGCAAAATGTTGAAAACTAAACTACACTAAACATTTTAGGGAATGATTACGTAAAGATTTCACTTACACTACACTTAGCATCCTTTTTAAAAGATATGTATGGTAGTTTGCAAGTAAGGTCTTTGTCTTGTTCTAGATTAGATTTCTAGAGGTGGATCTCAGCCTGACCCACTGCGACCTTCCCAGATCTATTGTGGTCTTGTCTTGTTCTACAATGAAGTTTTATGTAGCAATAGGTTATACTACAATAAGATTGTTAAAAATATTCACTGGAGCATAAATAAATTCAATCCACTACCTAACCTGTATTGAATATCGACGATGTTAGAAAACACATCAAATGGCGGCCTTTTCTTGTAATACATATTTCTTCACTAAAGATATCGACGCCTATACATTATTAACTAATAAATTTGTAGCATTTAGTGGTTTTATAATTATTTTTAAAATATGTGGATAAATATTTTTATTCTGAAATTGACAGCTTCTCAACATTTGACATGACAAATTCAGACAAATGTGACATTTAAACAGTCCTACCACTACAGTTTTCCCAGAAATACCCCAAAAATCCGCCATTTTGGCGCCAATAACATTGAACAAACCAATTGCGGTACTTTATATATCTAGGGACTTTAAGATTCATGTGTTTTTAGCGCCACTGTGGTTATTTGGCGTACCCTTATTCTTCCCATTTTGTGACCACTTTTTCAATAAAAGTCCCGAAAGAGTTATTTCTCCTTACCTCTACACTCCATAGTTTTTAGGGATATTTTGGGGATTTTTGATGCGAGCGTTTTAGATTTTTAGGGAGATAAATTTTTGAGAGTTGGGAACACTGGTGATTTGATATTTGACAGTTAATTGTTTTTTTTGGGATATGAGATATGAGCCCTTTTTTGCTTTTTTCCAATGTTTTTGTGTCCGTAGTCTTTCCATGTTTCTAAAGTTTTTAAATGGGTGTAATATTTTACGCAACTTCATTAAGCTGTAAGCGGTTTAAGCATTACGTAATTAGGTACATTATTAGTTGCTAGTTGCTGCACTCAATATTTTCATATAACAAATATATATTTAAATATTTTGAAGAATGAGAGACTGAGACAGAATTTATAACAGCCGCAATTAATAAAACATTTGAAAAACATGCCAGCTGCAATTGAAGATGGTGCAGCCCCTACGGCTAGCACGTCTGCCAATGAAACCTCTAACAGCAAAAACCCAGAAGTGCCCGATAGAGATCAGCAGATGTGGAAGGTTTTGAAAGCTTATATTTTACGAGACAGGGCACGCAAGAGACAAGAAAGAGAAGCTGAAGTTGAAGAGGAGAGGTAATTTTCTTGCATGTCCTAATTTTCTTTGTATATGTGTCTGCCTGGTTTTAGATTGCGTAAAGAAAGAGAAGCACGGGAACAACAGGATGTTATGACATTAGGGGAGACCAGAGAACATATTTCACAACTGGAGGCTAAACTTCAACAGTTTAAAGATGAGAAACATCAGCTATTTTTGCAGCTTAAGAAAGTTTTAAACGAGGATGATAATAGAAGGAGACAACTTATTAAAGATGCTTTGTGAGTACTATTAAAATATACATGTTTTTGTCAGTTTTTTTACTCTAACAAATAACGTGCACTCCAACTTTTATTGATATTCCTATACAGGGTGCTACAAATTCGGGGTACGAGCAGAGTTATCTCAGTAACCGTAATAGATATGAACATGGTTAATTGGGATGTTCACCAAAACGCCATCAAAAAAGTTTTAAAAATTTCAAGGATTGCTGAATTATTTGGAAAAAAATTATTATGATGTTGAAAAGTTGAAAGTACATTTAAAAATAAAATTTTTGGCGCCTAGTAGAACCCTTAGTATTAATATTAAGGTTTGCCTCAATTTATTTGTTGTTTTTTCCGTCTCAAAGATATCAGCAATCAAAAATAAGACCAATCAAAAATTTCAAATATTTTCCAATAAAACTACAAAGTAATATCATACTCGATATTTATGTAATTTTTACTGTAAAATCACTTTAATTCTGTTAACCTATGACTGTAATTAATTTTTTTGGGTATTTTTTTTTTGTTAATATATAAATATAAAGGTTAAAAATATCAAATAAATCTGTTTTGGCTATCTTTTATAACCAATTTGTTTTATATTTTATAGAATTTATAAATTTATCTAAAAAGAAAATAAATATAATTTAATAAATTTATTAGTTATAGCTTAACAGAATTGAAGTGATTTTGCAGGAAAAAAAAATATATAAATACTATCGAGTATAATATTTTTTGGTAATGGTGTGAATCCAGTGGCTGACCTTGAAACGAGTTTTTGCTGTATATAGTCACAGACACTACGCAGGCGCACATCTTCGATGTTGCCAGATTGCAAGTTATTTTGGAATTATTTTCAGTAGAAAACAAATATGTGCTTTTCAGTGTGTTTTGTCAATATATACAGTATGATCGAATAAACAGCGTCTAGTTGGCTAGGAAATGACGATTGAGGACATTTCCCATATAAAATGACAGCGATCTTCATTTCATAGTCATCGCTGACGCTATTTATAGTACGCGGTATATTATTTCTATTATTATTTTAATATTTCGCACAACACATGAAACGTGAATGCTTATTATGTATTTTCATAGTCAATAAAATTAAATAGAAATAAAATTCTAGATTCCTATAATTAATCTAATTGCTCTAGATTATAATGCTACGTTTAAAAGTGCTTTATTAAAAATTCGGGAAATTAAAGGGATGTGTCCAAGTTTTTTTTTTTTTTTTTTTTAATTTTAAACGCTGTAGCTCCATGTCATGTTCATAATAGTTTTTTAACATTCCATCAAAACTACGGAGGCCTTAAAAGGCATTTTAGCCTCCGTAATTAAAATTGTAGAATCAGCTTCAGCAACATTTACAGTTACCTTGTTTAATTCTGCTTATACATATATTGCATTATTTTTTCTGCTACCTTAAGATTTCTCTATTCTTACACCTAATTTATGTGATTTTCTTAGCATAATATGATTTATAGACCATATTTTTCCTAATGGAAGGATGGAATAGGATATGCAAAATTAAGATATTTTAACATTTATTTTCCAGACAAAGCATAATATAGTATTAAGATTAAGACATTATATTATTATACAAATATTATAAGAAAGATCTTAATATAAATCACAAACTAATTACAAACTAATCTTAATTTGGTCTTGTATAAACACAGGTATAAAACTAATAAGATCAAAACTCAACCTTCACCATATTGTCAAGATTTGGCATTATAGCAAACAAGAAATTACAGTAAATTAAGAAAAGAATGTCAAAGTACACGATATTAAATGCTGTAATGTATGTAATAATAATGTATAATGGTTGTACACACAAACCATCTCCCTTCTAAAGAGAAAAAGATAAAACATAAAGCTTATTTTAATCTTATCAACACACTCTTCGATAAAATATGTCTAAAATTGCTATTAATCCACTAACTTGATATTTTTAAGAAATTATGATACAAACATTATAATCAAAGTATATTATATTAGTAACATTATAGGTAAGATGTTACCTCTATCCCCCATTGACGTGTATTGTTCTATAAGACTCGTCATGGTAGTACCGTATGATCGAAAAAAAACGGCGTCCAGTTGGCTTGGAAATGACGATCCATGCCATTCCCTGTATAATTTTACATATAAAATGACAGCGATCTTCATTTCATAGCCATCGTTGACGCCGTTTTTATTCGATCATACGGTATTTCAAAACATCAATACATATAATCAAAACTATTGTTGCCTGTAAATAACTAGAAATTAAATAACTTGAAAGAAATAAAATAATTCTAATAAGTTTAAAACGATTAAGAAAAAATCCGTACATGATAATTTTTAATTCTAATGTAAATATATAAATAAATGTTATTATTATTACAATTTTATATATTCATAATACTTTCATTTCACAATCTTCATTATCCTTCTTACCTTAATTTTGGATATCAAGATAAATCTGAAATTATAAAATTAATTATAGAATTTGTATTATAATTGATTAACACTCAAAAAAAAAAAATTCAACTGCAAATAATTCGAAAATAAACTGCAATTTGGCAACATCGACCATGTGCGCTTGCGTAGTATCGATGATCAAATGCAGCAAATATGGGCTTCGAGGTCAGCCACCGGATACACACCTTTACCTATTTTTTTGTAGTTTTATTGGAAAATATTTGAAATATTCAATTGGTGTTATTTTTGATCGCTGATATCTTTGAGACGGTTGATCTGAGGAACTTTGACCTTCAGACGTTTTTTTGTAGAGCGTGAAATTTCCTGTAAATCTTCTCGCGAGGATGTTGCGGAAACCATTCTGAAATTATTAAGATTCAAAAATAAAAATAAAAAATTTCCGTGTTAATTAAATGGAAAAACAACAAATAAATTGACGCAAACCTTAATATTAATATTCAGGGTTCTACTAGGCCAAAATGTTTGTTTTTAAATGTACTTTCAACTTTTCAACACTGTAAGAAAAAACATTATTTTGAAACACCCTAATATACATATTTTGTAGTGATACAATAGTACCGATACGTACAATGCCACAAGGTGTGGTTCCCCATCAACAGCCTCCACAACAGCCTCCCCCGCCGCCGCAGCAGCAGCAACAGCCGCAACAGGCTCTATACGTACATCCTTCACAAGCCCCAGGAAGAATACAAACAATTGCTGAGCTGCTTCCACAACCACAACCCGCTACGGTATATAACAAGGCAGCTTTGAAACGACCCAGGAGCCCTAGTCCGCCTCTTCAAGCACCCGTGTCCATGTATCAGGGTTATACGACATATAAGAGTCCCGCAGTGGGAACTAGTTCTTATCAAGCATCTCCGCAAAGTAAGTACCTACACATAACCAAACAATTGATTGTATTATTTAGAGTTGTTGATATTTATGATTGAGAGGCATGAAGTTAATTTTATTGTAGAGGATTTTGAATTTTGTATATCTATTTTGTAACAGTGAAAGTCAGAAATTCAGTGATTGTTAACATTCACTAGGAAATGCTAGCAATTACGAATTTGTCGACTTTTTCTAGTAATTTCTAACATTCACTAGTGAAAATAACATTTACTAAAGGTTGCCAGTAAAAGTTGTTCTATTGTACAGGGCGAGTGTGGCGAGGAAGAATGTTGGTGGAAGTTAGAACAAATAAAACTTTTAAGAATATTTGGATCACCTCATTATTCAAGCGCTGATCTACATAATATCTTAAAATTATAATTTACTTCTCTAGTGTATTTAATAAAAAATATAGAAAATAACGACATAACCTGCTTCTAAATATAGACCATTCCAGAACACGTGACTTTGACAGATCCGCCATTTTCGCTGGGAGGCATACAAACCGTATATAAACCATTAACTTGCATTCATTTCCTTGTGTTTTTAGTCTTTTATAGCGTTATAGACATATTTTTTTAATTCTTAATTTTCTTTAATCCTCAATTTTAATTATCCTATAATCAGTAGGTCAACCAATTAAGGGGTATTTTTATGAGGCCGAATTACAGAAGACAAAGTCTCCTGGTATTGATCTAGTTGAAATAATGCTAGGTCACCACCAGAAAAATAATAATAAACAATTTTATGTGAAGTGGTTAGGCTTTTCTTCCAGGTTTAACTCATGGATTGATGTTTCAGATATTATTTAAAATTTATAATATTTAAACTTTATAAACCAAGGTTTATACTATTAAAAATAAACACATATTTTTTTTAAATTGTAGTATATTTAAATAAATCTACATTTATTAGTAGTTAATAATAATAATAATCTTTACGTCAAGGAATGTAACATACAAATGTAAAAATACAAAATAGTATATACAGAAAATGAAATAACGTCACACAATATTTATTGACTTGTCTACAGGAAATCTGGGAGATATGGCTCTATATCAAATTAACAAATTTTTCAATTGTGCAACTACTCTTTACTTCTGTCTCAAACTATCCTTTACTTCTATTAACTGGACTTCAAGTGGCAACCTATTAAACAAATTTACACTCATGTACCAAGGACCCTTCTCATAGAGGCTCAGCTGATATCTTAGGATTTCAAAATCCACAGTTCTTGTATTATAGGCATACTCAGCCGAGACTTCACGAAAAATATTCTTGGTATATATTTGATCTGAACACAGCCCTGTTATCGTTCTTATTCAGCTGATCTTCCAGAAGTGCAATCCTTGTCGTGTATTTACGTTTATCGTCTTCTCTCAGACGATTTAAATTGAATAAAGTTGATTAACGATTGGAGGATTATGAAAATTCACTGGTCGATTTTCATCTTTTATAGCAACATCTTTAACTAAAAATAAAAATACTTTATACGCTCGTATATATCTTAGTATAAATAATAAATCTCTGATTCATTTTTAAATCTTTTTCTTAATCTGCCAAATCTAGAAGATGACTTGTAGGGTTGAAGACAGGAAGAATATCCCAAATTTTGGCTGAATTAGACTTATCTCCTAACATAATTCGTCTTAAAAACAAAAACATATTTTTCGCTAATTTAAACTCAATAAATGATAATTTTGCAAAACGGATTTACCAGTTATAAAGTCTTTGGAACAAATTCGTTTCTTTTTAATCTCAATTTCATACAGGGGCCTTTCATTTCAAAGCTTTTAACTACACTTCGTTTCGAACATTAGACAATGCATTTAAATTATTTTCTCTGTTGGTCAAAGCAGCATGATTTGGAAAAAGTTCCCAAAAAGTTCTTCAAACCTTGGATTATTGAGTTTACACGTGAAACGTTAAAGGAAACGAACACGTTATTGTGTTTACACGTCATAACGTGAAAATTAATTGGTTTGTGTGCCTCCCAGCAAATTTTGCCGACCTGTCAGTGACGTCATTCTGGAATGGTCTATTAGAAAGGAAAACTTAGTAAACGTTGTAAAGCTTACAAAACAATTAAAAAAGCATTCCTAAACATAAGATTACTTATTGGTACAAGGTTTTTTTAATAAAGTTCTTCATCGTGGACAAAATAGAGTATGCCCGAATTTTCTCCAACGGGAGTTATTAGTTTTTTCAAACCCCCTACTTCAAGCCTATCAAAACGTTTAATAAATTCATAGTCACTAGGTTTCTTAATATCTTTTTCTTTTGAACGCTTAACTTTTGCTATCTTTCTCTTTCTCAGCCTGGTTCCATCCAGTGTTGGATATAGGCCTCTTCTAGGTTTTTCCATGCTTCGCGATCTCGAGCCAATCTTATCCATTGTCTTCCCGCCACTGCCCTGACTTCATCGACCCATCTCTTTTTTGGTCGGCCCACACTTCTTGTTGTTCCCCTAGGTCTCCATAGGATTTCCATAGGATTACTTTTTAGGGTGTGTATTAGTTGTCCCAAATATAAATATCCTTCTATTATTTCAAATGTTGCGTTATTTATTAGAATGTATTTTCTGCCCACTAGTTCGCTGTACATTACTTCAGATTTTGCTAAATACATTTTGAGACTCACTTTATTGCTGGCTTTATTTAGTTCATTAATTTGTGCTTGTAGTTCTTCAGGACTATTGGCAATTAGGACTATGTTATCAGTAAATCTTAGATGGTTAAGATATTCTCCATCTATTTTTAATCTTTTATTGGTTCAGTCCAGTTGACGGAGGATTTTTTCTTGTGTTGCTGTAAGCAGCTTTTGGAATATCGCGTCTCCCTGTCGTACCTTCCCTGTCGCACTCATTTGCCAGTTGGGAGACAACAATATACTTTTGTTATATAGGTACCATATAAAGATTCATAAACACATATAAAGATTCATGAAATCTCAAACATTTATATCTGAGGACATATGTTCTTAAAATTATTTAGGATTTAAAACATTATTTTATAGTTTCAATTCACAATAATACGACCTCTACGTATTTATATGGGTTATTACGTTAATTTAAACGTAATTTTTAACGCTTATCAAATTTTATTAAGATATTAAGCCGTATCGTATCACAGTTTAAAAAATATAAATATATACAGTTGGCCCACGGCATATAAATCACACGGCAGGCCAACTCGCTTTGGCGGGAACGCTACGCGCATACCCTTGCGCACGCCGCCATTATGGGTGCCAGCGACAGAAATTAACCAGTGTCGTAGTCAGTCGTAGTCTTTGTCATCGACAACATACAGTTACGGCAGCTTTGAGTCAGTAGCGTGCGGCTTAATTTATTTTATTCTTTTCTTGAGTGATATATTTTGTTTTTTTTTTAGTTTTATTTTTTTTATTGTGTGATATATTTGGTTTTGTAGTTTAGTAGTACAATGGAAGTCCGAAATTCTTTTAGTTTTAATACTCAGTCATTGTCTACGGCATTCAAAGTAATTTTATTATTAGGTATCCTGCAAAATGACAAACAAGATTAATTTCTAAATTACTGTTTTTCTGATTATCCGTATCTATTTTTAATTTTTATGGATAGCTCATGAGAATTCAGAGAGAAAGGAAAAGAGGTCTCGTTTTTTTTATAAGGTCTGCCGTTTTTAATAAGATGTTTGCCAGATCATTTTGGCAATTTTCAGTACCCGTATGTAATATTCGGACACAAAGTTTTTTAAATGTTCTTCTAAACTGGATGAATTTATCCTGGATGGGAATAATGATAGGTTTACAAGATATTGGAATTACAAGAATTACAAGATAAAGTTGTACCAGATTTTTATGAGTGCAACTGGTCACTCAAATCTCGCGACAAGCTTTTATATAATATAAAATTGTGTAATGACATAATAAAAGTTTTAAAGAAAAAGTTTATATTTTCTTTTTAATGTATTTAAATAAAAGCTTGTTTTTAAAAAGTTTTTTTTCTTAAATTTATTTTTTACTTTTTAAGTTATGCTGGTTTCTCAGTGCCACACACTTAAACTCAATTCTTTTTCTTGTTATTTTCATATCTGTGGGATCCTATAAATCCTAAGGCTCTTTTCCAGGCTCCACACTTATAAGTTATTTTCCTTATCAGACTCTACTTATACATATTATGGTGAATACATTAATATTAAAATATTAGATATATTATTCTATCCTAATTCTTTGGAATATGGAATTGTCAATAAGGGAATTATTATTAATAATTATTATGGAAATCCCATATGAAAAATGTATTCTAAATAAATATAATAAGTAAATTTTTCTAATATGTATATATAATAATATATTTGCATATTTCTTAAATTATAACATGTTTTGCTGTATAGGTGTTTGCATTTTACTTGCATTTTACTTTAATTACCTACCTGGAAAGCCCAAATTTTATCGTAAGGTAATAAAAGTACCTTTGCATACAACTTGTGTTGCCATTGTCAATTTTTTTGGGTTTTTTTCTAAATTTTATGATTATCATGAACAGTAATTATGACTGTTAGTAGTTAATTGTGTAATAAATTTTAATGTTTGATAAAATTTTATATATTACCTTTTGATAAAAAGGTAGATAATTCAAGTTAAATGCAAACAGCTAAAAAGCAAAACATGCTATAACTTAAGAAATATGCAAATATAATTTATTACAATATTTACTACTAATTGAAGAGCACACGGGAAAAACAATGAAAGTACCAAAAGGGGGGGAGCTATACTTTTTGGTACCTAAATAAACGGGAATATCGATAACGGCCACATAGAAACAGGCATTTAAAAATGGGAAAAACGATATAAAAGTCCATGCGTAATTTGAATTAAAAAACGCTTTCCTGAACACTTATCTGGATACTCATCGTTTTTCCCGTATGCTCATCAATTGTTATATTTAAGTACTGTTACAAAAAATTTAGTAAAAATTCTAAAAAACTTGTCAATAGCAGAACAAGTTGTATGCACGTATTTTTATTACCCGACGATAAAATTTGGACTTTCCAGGTAGGTAGTTAAAGTTAAATACAAACATCTAAAAAGCAAAACATGCTATGTATAAAAAAATGCAAATATCTTAAAAAATAATTTAATATGCACTTTGCCAACCGGTAAATACTGAAAAATCCAAAAACATAATAAAAGTATCTACTACTACTCTAATATATCTAGTAAAATAATAAACTAATTGTTAAAAATAAATATTTTGTGCATATTTCAAGTAAAATCTTTTCTTAATTTATATGTATATTTTTAAAACAAGTTCATAATTGGGTTTCCATAATTATAATATACTTAATATGTCTAATACTTTAATTATTATATACTTAATATCCTATACTATATAAACATATACCTTCCTTCATCTTTTGGGCACCTAAAGAACGATATATTGTCTGTCATTCTACTTTCACAACCATCCACTGCACAAATATTTCTAGTAGACATTTTATTCACAATTCGAACAAAACAACTAAAACACTATTTTTGGTTCAATCTATGCGTCGGACCGAAAACAAAACTAAAATAAACTTGGAACGCTGTGTACACGTCGAGGAACGGATGTAGACTGACCCAAGTCTACAAGACAGGCGAGGAGCGGCGGCAGGAATTTTGATACGGGCGAAGAGTGGGCCAACTGATATATTTATATTCTTTAAACTGTGCTATTATTCAACTCGTCCTTATATTTTACAACATGTGGCAACCGCGCTAACTAAATCTTTCAAACTGCCAGGGAATGCTAGCAACTAGTAAAAGTTGGTTTGAAAAATTGCTGTTGAACGTTTACTGGCGTAGTCTTAGCAAATCAGTGAATGCGAGCTTTTACTAGTAATTGTTAACAATCACTGATTTCCAACTTTTACTGTAACATATCTGCTATACAGGGTTGTTCACGCTATTCGACACGGAGTAGTCAAATGAATAGATTTTGTGATCACGTGATCAACTTTGAGTGACAAGGGATGGCGACAGCGCTGCCAGATTATGATGGATTTATGAGATGAATCTTAATTTAAAAGTGACAAACAATATATTTATTATATAATTTTTTAAATATTTTTACGATTTGTTTTTAATTTAATAACTAATATTTTAGGAATTAATTGATTTATTTGTTTTATAGATTATTTTACTTATTACATATTGGCAAAAACTAGTCCATTATGGGTTACTAGTTATTATGGGTTATTTATTGATGTTGTATTATTCTTACAACGCCATAAGTGGTAATAACAAGTAAGAGGGTGCTATTAATGCACAAACTAATAACCACAGAATTTAATAAAAACTAACGTAGAAATAACTTTTAAAGTGGTGTACCTAATGTGCTTATCAATCAAACTTACTTCTCTGACTGCAGTGAAGAGTAATAAAGGACCTATATTGTCACGTTCTCGTTCAAAATAGTTTATCAGGGAAGCTACAAGCTCTTTGCTTCGACTATTTAAATGCTTCGGCATATTTTCAACACACAATTTCAAGACAAGTGCAATACAAAAACTGGAAAAAGAACTGTTTGTGCTTAAAAGTACAATTTAAAAAAATATATGAAAATAGGCAAAAAAACGAGAATTACTCACAAAGATTCAACAACAACACGATATTATACAAAATAATGACTGACACATAGACAAATAAATAAAAAGAGACTGGCAAATCTCATGGTAAAGAGTGGGACCGCGTTCCCGTATAGCGCAACTCAGAATAACAATTTTGAAACCAATTAGCAGGACCATTGCAGGACGTACGTCTTTATTGCTATCTTTCTTTATTATATGTGCTTTTTTCATATGAAAAAGAAGGAGATATGGATAAAACATATCGTAAGATATTATCGCACATTCTGGCTGGCGGGAAATTTAAATTAGCCATTATTAGTAGTATTCTTTCATTCTGAAACTGAACATTTTCACTTAAACTGATTTATTCCCTATACCACGTAAAGGGAACGTGGTGTAGGGAATAAATCAGTTTAAGTGAAAATTTTCAGTTTCTTTCAGAACGAAAGAATACTACTATTATAGGGGAAATTATAAAAAAAGCAAAACTTGTACTGTTTTATAAACATATTTATTTATACATAAAAATAAATAAACTTTTTATAATATAATAACAAAAAATAACAGTGTTTATTTCACCCACCTACCCAAGTTTCTGGTTACTATAAACCAGCTATAAACTACCTACTACCCAAAAATTAAAAAAATTAAATGTATTAATTTGTTATGTTAAGAGGGGTTCGAAATATTTTTGACACTACTACTTCTACTTTTTTCTTAATAGGATGATAAATATAACTACTTACTTTTATTTTACCGAGTGTCTTTAACATATCTATCAGAGAAAGGGGGTACCAATGCATATAAAAAATAGATGATACTGGCGCCTGCAGCAAATAAAGTAACAAATAGTATAACCTAAAATTATAAGTAACAAAATATAAATACCTATCTGAAACAAAGGAATTTGTTCCCTATCCATATTCATAAGTCAATAAAATGGAGAGTTTAGAAAAAAAAGGTAAATCACTAAAAGAAAAATTAACAAACATGACGAATTGTCATGATGTTGTCATCTTGGTTGTCATGATAACGAAAAGCGATTGTTCTAATTTTTATTTAGAAATTACGGCTGTTTATATGGCTGTTTCTTTCTCTCTTGTTATATTAGAATGAGATAGTGGGCCCAATAGACGCAATGCGCACATCAACATAAATAGAACGAAATTTTGCGTTCTGAGTTGCGCTACGGGAACGTTGTCCCTCCCTTTGCCATTTAATTTGCCAGGCTCTTTTTATTTGTTTGTCTATGGACTGACATTAGGATAATTGTCAAATAATATACGACAACCTTGCTGAAAACTGCGCAATGTGACCAACATAGCGATAATAAAATTCGGTTTAAACTATTTTTTGCAGCTTTAATATAAATAAAATATCTGTTACAATCATTTGCTTTATAAAGTAAAATGAAGAGCTCCTCGATATCTTAAACTATACAACAAAAAATTTAAACGTTTTTGCTAAAATTTAATTTAGTCAGGTTTATAGACTTTAGTGTCAATGTCGATATGATTAATGACGTGCCTCGGAAAATGTTTTGCAATATTACAATACCCTACAAATTAAAATGACAAATAACAACTGTCACTCTGATGAGACAGACTTTATCAGATATTGGTATAGATAGTTATTGCAATACTCTATATATATTTTACCCTAGTTAAAGTAGATTTTAATCATGCTGTTATGGAATGTTAGTTATTGTATTAAGAATGAGTAACATTTGATGAAATTTTTATTTGCAGAGGATGATGGTAGACGTAATGAGTTAGTCCGAGCAGTTTTATGGAACAGTGAGTTTTGTTATTTTTGTATTGTTTTAAATCTGTTAATTGTGCCTGGGTTTTTGCTTGGTATAAATATTGTATCTATAGGTATTAACACAACACAATTCAGGGCCCGTATTCTGTAACTTTGACATAAAAACGTTATGCTTTCAAAGCGGTGAGCGCAAGCATTCGATCAGCGAAACTCAAGGCAGTCGATTTTGGTACTCTCGTTGCCATGCGAATCGTGTTCTGGATACGCGTTGAGGACATATTGGCAACATCACAATTTCTAATGTAGCTAACAGTCAAAAGTTGATAACTGACGGATGTAACAATGAAAAATGTCAATGTTACGTGAATTTCATAACCTATTGTTGAGTTATGTCAAGGTATTTTTCTATGGATGTCATTATTCTTATTATACGAGGGAAGTGTTGAAGACTCTTCTCAGCATTTTCGATGTTTTGAACAATATTTATAGCTGCCAAGTCGTAAATTATCAATTACTTATTGAGGAATTTATAGAAGAAGTAGTAATTGTCACTAAAGAGCAAGATAACGCACAAAATCACAAATTTTTCGATTTTCACTGACAGTTCGACAAGCAAAACGATCCTTTACGGCAACCGTTTTGAAAGCGCTTAGCGCAATCAGTAATGACGCCAAGCGCGTCAGATGAGAATACCCAAATCGGTAGTTAAGTGCGCGCTCAGCCAAAATTAACGTCATATATACGCTGAGCGTCTAAAAGCGCTTAGCGTTTTCGGTGTTACAGAATTCGGGCCCAGGTCTATTCATTTACAACTGGATGCAGTCTTCATTAGGGTGATCCAAAAACATTTTTTTTAAACATCAGGCTCAAAAGTTTCAATTTGACGTAAAAAGATACCAGTTAAAATTTGAGCCCTTAATATTAATATTAAGACTGTCCACATCACGTTTTTCTATTTTCCATAGGAATACTATGGAAACATTTTGTTCTGCACCTTACATAGACAAACAAATAAAAAGAGACTGACAAATCTCATGGTAAAGAGTGGGACCGCGTTCCCGTAACGCAACTCAGAATAACAATTTTGAAACCAATTAGCAGGACCATGGCAGGACGTACGTCTTTATTGCTATCTTTATCATATGTGCTTTATATGAAAAAGAAAGAGATAGGTATAAAACGTATCGTAAGATATTATCGCACATTCTGGCTGGCGGAAAATTTAAATTAGCCATTATTAGTAGTATTCTTTCATTCTGAAACTGAACATTTTCACTTAAGCTGATTTATTCCCTATACCGCGTAAAGGGAACTTGGTGTAGGGAATAAATCAGTTTAAGTGAAAATTTGCAGTTTCTTTCAGAACGAAAGAATACTACTATTATAAGGGAAATTATAAAAAAAAACAAAAATTGTACTGTTTTATAAACATATTTATTTATACATAAAAATAAATAAACTTTTTATAATATAATAACAAAAAATAACAGTGTTTATTCCACCCACCTACCAATTTTAAATGCAGAAGCACTGACTGTTGCAGAAAACGATCTGCCAATTTTTTTAAAGGGCATTAAAAATCTCATTTTCGAAAAAACTGCCTAATTGCAATAACAAAGTGAATATCCAAGCAAAGAAGACTTTACGAGAATCATGATCCTGAACCATTTTCGAGTCCAGTTTTAATCCTAAAACAAAAGTAAAATAGGTATATTAATAAAGTTTCTGGTTTCTATAAACCAGCTATAAACTACGTACCCAAAAAATGAACAAAATTAATTGTATTAATTTGTTATGTTAAGAGAGGTTCGAAATATTTTTGACACTACTACTTCTACTTTTTTCTTAATAAGATGATAAATATAACTACTTACTTTTATTTTACCGCGTGTCTTTAACATATCTATCAGAGAAAGTGGGCACCAATACATATAGAAAATAGATGATACTGGCTCCTGCAGCAAATAAAGCAGCAAATAAAATAACAAGTAGTATAACCTAAAATTATAAGTAACAAAATATAAATATCTATATGGAACAAAGGAATTTGTTCCCTATCCATATTCATAAATCAATAAAATGGAGAGTTTAGAAAAAAAGGTAAATCACCAAAAGAAAAATTAACAAACATGACGAATTGTCATGATGTTGTCATCTTGGTCGTCATGATGACGAAAACGAAAACGAAAGGCGATTGTTCTAATTTCTATTTAGAAATTACGTTTTATATGGCTGCTTCTTTCTCTCTTGTTATATTAGAGTGAGATAGTGGGCCCAATAGACGCAATGCGCAGATCAACATAAATAGAACGAAATTTTGCGTTCTGAGTTGCGCTACGGGAACGTTGTCCCTCTCTGCCATTTAATTTGCCAGTCTCTTTTTATTTGTTTGTCTATGGCACCTTATGAATTTTATTGCTACCCTGTCGTGTGTCAAAAAAATCCTTTTACTTATTTTTGTAGATAATTAAACGTTCTACAAAAAGGGTTTTTTTATAATTTTTCGAGAAACCTAATAGTTTAAGAGTTATTTGAGGCCAAGGTTCAATTCATCGCAAATTTTAAAGCTTTTGATGCATTATAACAAATTTGATAGTTTTATTGGAAGAAATCACCCAAAAAAAATCATATGTTTATCTTAAATTTAGTTTCTTATACAATAATTGTTAATAATTTTTTGCAATAATGGGACCAGTGAAACTCTTTGAGATCATTTTTTGCACAAAGTGGCTTCGAAATCATAGTTTATCTCGTTTTTAGGGTTCCGTACCTAAAGGGAAAAAACGGGAACCCTATTACTAAGACTTCGCTGTCCGTCCGTCCGTCCGTCTGTCACAAAAGTCTATCTTATGAACAGTTATAGCTAGACAGTTGAAATTTTTACAGATAATGTATCTATGTTGCCGCTATAAGAACAAATACTAAAAACAGAATTAAATAAATGTTTATAAATAAAAAAGTACTTTCACTAAAAATTATCTTTTAAGTAAGAATTTTACATAGAATCTTTCAAGTCCTCGGTGGCCGCGTGGGTAAAACGTTAGGACTTTACGCTGCTATGACGTTGGAGCCGTAGTAAGGCAGGTTCGAATCCTAGCCAAGGCGACTTTTTTTAATAGTTTTTTTTTTAATTTTTACTTTTTACATATTTATTATTGATTAATACAATTTTTAGTAATGGGTTTCTTCATTTTTTTTTAAATTACTTATACGCGCATTCAAAATTTCAGCTAAATCGGAAAAAAAGTTTATAAAAATATAGTGCCTAATGTTGTATGGATAATGAATGGTACGGAACCCTTCGTGCGCGAGTCCTGCTCGCACTTTACCAATTTTTCTTTAATTTTCTTTAATCTAAAGACAAAAAATTTTCTTCAGTCAATTGAAATACTTACACAAGGAATACATTAACTGACGATTGGTTTTGTTTAAATAAAAAAAATATTTACTTTTTCTATAAGTAGTTTTAAAATTACTTAGTCAAATTTAATCTAAACCAATATTATTATTGACATTTTTTTTAAAACAGTCTGGATAACGTTGCCGATGTTCTCGAACTACTTCTAACATATACTGTAGTTGCTTTTCACCTTTAGTGAGGTAATTGTTATATTCTTCTATTAACGCAACTCCTCTTTCAGCTACGTCATTCGTTACTTTTAATGTTTTAAAAAATTCAGCACATTCTATGTAACTATCATCATTAGACCAAGTTGAAATGTTATTTTCTAAAAAATCGCTTGGTAAATAATTTTTTTTAAACAAATTCAATAATTTTTTTTTATACAAAATCACTTAAATCTTTTTGTAAAAATAATTCGTGCTCATTATCGAGTACTTGATACCGCTGATTTATATATTGTTGTAGAAGCAGGTCGGGAATTAAGTTTTTGGGTGATTTGTTCCAATAAAACCATCAAATTTTCTGTAATGCATCAAAAACCTTAAAATTTGCGATGAATTGAACTTTGGCCTCAAATCAATCTTAAACTATAAGGTTTCTCGAAAAATCATAAGAGACCTTTTTTGTAGAACGTTCAATTCTCTACAAAAATAAGTAAAACGATCTTTTTTATGATACACGACAGGCTAGCAATAAAATTAATAAGGTGCAGAACAAATTTTTTCCACGGTATTCTTATGGAAAATAGAAAAACGTGTTGTGGGCAGTTTTAATATTGTTGCGGACCCGTGTGAACTCGGCCTAACCTGACTAATATGTCCCGCCCCCATATGACCTTTATCTCGCATTAAAGAATAGACACCGTAGTGACTCATCGAAAGTTCGGAAAACAATTGACTTCCACTCTTTGAATGAGAAGACTAAGGAAGGAGCATAATGCTATCCATGTATTCATGCATGGTGGGCGGAAAAAGCACTCTAGGGTGGGGATCCTTGACAGTTCTGTTTGACGATTCATTTGACACATTTGAATTTGATTTGAAAATTTGTGGATTTGTCAGTCTTTACGGAGCTTATTTTATGATATTTATTATTTATTCTACTACTCATAGTTGTATAAAGGTAGTAAATCTAGATGTAAATTGTGGCAGAACTTAAATTAACAGTGACACTATCATGATTTATCGAAAAAGACTCTAAAATAGTTGATTGTGTAGCGTGCGGTAGACTGGCAAAAATTGAGTGAAATAATGAACAACTTTTCGCTAGATAAGGTGCAGAACAAATTTTTTCCACGGTATTCTTATGGAAAATAGAAAAACGTGTTGTGGGCAGTTTTAATATTGTTGCGGACCCGTGTGAACTCGGCCTAACCTGACTAATATGTCCCGCCCCCATATGACCTTAATATCGCATTAAAGAATAGACACCGTACACACCGTCATTGAATAAGGTATAGGTTTTTCAGAATGTCCTAAAAAACTGCTTGTGGGTTATCATTTGGGGGGATTTCAGTCACACAAAACACCCACTCTTTAAATCGCAGCTGCTTCTTAAACAACTTTTTTCAAAAAATAGTTTTATTTTTATTTTCGTATATTGTATTTATTATTAAACAGTGGCGTTTTT